GGGTGGCTGATAAGTATCCGGAAACAGTATAAGGTCCTGGTGTAAAAAGGAAAGCACGAAGGCGATCAAAACCAATTATTTTATAACAAATAGAAGCTATATATTCGTCGCTGTTACAAACTTTTAACGTGACATCTATCTGCTTCGATTTATACTTCAAGTTGTGGCTAACCTAAAATGGCTGTGCGCCGCGGGCAGTTGTCGGCTATTTTGCTCAAAATCTTGTGAAATTCTTGGTGAAGATGAACCATATTCTTGATGCCCTGGTTCCTTAGTTCGTGTTCCATGCATTCCCGCACAGAAAAATCCAGTGGAAGACGATCTGGGCTTTTGGCAGGTCATATAACCTTCGTCATAAAAGCGTCGATTTTCGGGTGAAAATGACGAATTGTGGTTTTTGGGCCCTAGCTCCGAGGCCGACACTGTTGAATGGCAATACAGGGATTATTTCGATTACAAAACATCACATCTTGCTCCAGAATATCATTTTGATAGAGGTTCATCTTCATTTTAGCGTTCTGATCGATGAAAACCTGTCGGAGACGCTAATTCCACTTCAGACCATATAACTTTCTGGGATAAGCCTTTTTGTAGTAGGTTTTAACTTTCTGGTATTCTTCAGACCCGAACCGACAAGTTATCGCGGTATTTGAAAGTTTTCAAACACCATAACCCCGAGAAATTTTCTCGTCTAAACATTGACTACCCCAGGTGCGGCGCACCTAAGCTTAAGGAAATGACGGCTAAAGACAGCTTCTTGGCGCTCCGATAATTTACTGTCCTAAATCAACTCAATTTTAGTCATGAAATATCAAAGTGTATACAAGTACATACACAATGGCTAGGAGAAAAGAATATAAAACTCAAAGGTTTTTTTGTTACGCCATGTCAAAGTTTTTCCGGATACTTATCAGCCACCCTGTATAGCAATTTGTACTCCCACAATTTCTGTTCTACATAGTTAAAAAGGGAAGGCAGCAGACCTAAGAAGAAGAAACAGTCTTGAGAGTCTTAAGAGAAAGTCCCACAGGTATCACAGGAAAATTTTTTCAAATTATTGTGGCGATTTAGTGGCTAGTTGATTTTCAAGGGCAGGGAAAGCCAGAGAGAGCTATGGATCTTTTTCGTGGTGCGACATGCAACACGCCGTCCACGTAGCCGCCGCGAAGCGCCGGGAATCCATTACGCAATGAAATTTAGATGCGCGTTACGTGTCGCGGGCGCGACGGATTTTTAATGCCTTGCCGGTCCCTTTAGGAGGAGCCACCCAGCCTTTCTGGATTTTCAAAAGTGAATGTTTCAAATGCACAACTTTCACCTTCAACTTTCAACTTCCAACTTTTTTTTCTGGAACCGCTCTAATGTTCTGTTTCTCGCGTTTTTTTGTTCGGGACAACGAAGTAGTTTTGGCTGCTTTTAGGTATTATTTCTTAAAGTAAGTATTTACTTAATAAAGCATGAATTTTTACATCAAATTTATGGTTCCGAAACAGCAGTGGAAAACGTGGAAAGTTACGAAAAAAATTGTATTTAAGCGCAAAATTTCTAGAAAATTTGATGTTTCGAAAAGGATGTGTCATTGTGCGGCGTGGTTGTCTTTAGTCAGCCCGGTACATACATGTATAAATCTCGATATCCCTAAAATTTAAAAAATTGATTATGCCCAACTCTGATACAAAAAATATTTTTCTACGCTTTATACTCCTATGTTTCAATTGAACATCACTCTCCGTCCAGCTTAACTGTAACAATTTGATGATCATAACTCCTTAGCGGAGTCATATTAAATTTTTTCGCCGATCCTCTGTAATTACCATATAAAAATAAGTGGCAATTTTAGAAAGTCATTAAATATAGAACGATTTTTCTAATTTAAAAACGCAAAATCTAAAATAAAATAAAATTGCGCACTGTACCTTCCAGACCCCAAAAAGACGGTAGGCCTCCGCGTCGGCGTATAGAATAACAAGAAATTCCCTAGAAGTCCCGCTAGGTCCGCAAAACGCCTAAAAATACTCTAAAAATGGAAAAAAATGGGAGGAATTACCGTAAACTGCAAATCCAGGGCTCCGTTTGCCCAGATCAACCTTGCTTTCACCGTTGGATCGGACGTTTTGACGGACTTTGGCAGAATTTGGCCTGAAAATTCCCAAATAATCTCTGCTAGCCTGCCCTCTCCTCTTCCTCAACAATCTCTGCTAGCCTGCCCTCTCCTCTTCCTCAACAATCACTGCTAGCCTGACCTCTCCTCTTCCTCAACAATCTCTGCTAGCTAGCCCCCAGACTTACGATAATTTCTCGGCACTCGTATGCTGCGAGTACAATTGTGATGTTCCCTCGAGTAGAATCGTACTGAGCGTAGCAGTGCGTAGGGCTGATGCACCACGTGCAAACTCAGAATTTGCAACGGTTCCAGCGACGGCCAACGCTTGAAGACTACCTGAAAATACTTATTTTCAGTATTTTGCGTCTTTTCTTCCCCCGACTCTCTGTTAATATAAAACTAGAGCAATACTAGTTTTCGGTCTATAATGAAACTAATTGTTGTGCGCTATATTCAGATCGATCGTGACCTCTAGCGATTAATTTTGAGCCCGCACGATCATTGGCAACGAATTACGAAACAGACCAGTTTTCCGAGATCCTAAAACTGTCACGTTGCCGAATTTCAACTGAATATGATATGCATCTTCTTTTTTATTTTTGGATTTTAAAAGCAGATTGGTTTCTTGCCAGAGACAGTTTAATAATTGCCACTTTATTACGCGACGATTGCAACGATGCGAAACATTTTTTCTGAAGTGGATTGGGTATTAGCTTCGTTTTTAGGCTTAGCACAGGCTTAGCGAGGTTTAGCGTAAATTTTAATCGATTTTTAAACCTTAAAATCCGATACCTTTGTCTGGCTCGTTTGCCCGTCAGCTTTTCCCACCGCCTTCAGGTCCTCGTAGAGGAATGGGACGTACACCACCTCGCGCGGCTTCAACACCAGGCTTGTCTGAACAATTTTCTCCAACTCATTGAACATGCCATTAACCCAATTTTTTAAAATTCTTATGGTCCAAGATTCGAAACATTTTATAACATTTCAAATTAAGCTTTAAGAACTTAAAAATTAAAATCGAAATTGTACCTAAAATGTTAAAAATAAGTTTTCTTCTAGAAACCGAATGCAATTTCCTTCTTTTAAATGCATTATGTGTTTATACTTAAATTGCTTTTGTTTATTATCATCCTTTTGGATTATTTTTCTATGGCGCTCAAAAAATGTAACAATCGGAAAAATTATTAAAAATTGATGTTTCATAAAAATATACGTAGAACCACCTAGCGTACAAAATATTCTCGCAGGAGTTCTTTGTGGATTACATTTAGATTAGCACTTTCGTTTTTTGTTTTTCTATGAAAATTTTGTTAGTTTTCGTGCCCTTTAATATAGATGAAATGGCAAAAAATGATTAATGATTGTTTTTAATTAAAATATTATCAAAGCTCGCTTTTACAGGGCTAAGTTTTCGATAGCATGATTTATACCTTTCCCTCCTCATCACGGCGCACCAAATTCCGCTCGATCGGCGTGTCCAATTTGTGCGCCTTCTTGTAGAAGGCCCACTCAGCGTCGTCGGTGAGGAGACTATTTTAATAGTTAAATTGTAATATCGAAAATAAGCATAAATTACCATGAAAAAGTTTAAGGAAAAATAGTAAAATTTATTTTTCAACAAAAAATTGACCGATAATTTTTTTTGAAAAGCTATGTTTCAAAAAATTCACACGTTTCGCCGTTTTAGGCTCGAACTAATTGGTCAAGTAAGTGGTCTCTAAACTAGCTAACCCAACGCTTCCATGCAAACCTCAATAAATACGTGGTAATTTACGTTGTAAATAGAATAAATATTCTGCTTATTCCTAAACAAAACTATTTAAGGAATTCCCCTGTTTTTGGCAATTTAAAAATGAGTCTTAGCATTTTTTTTAAATTTGCCCCCCGATAATGGAACAGAATCCATCTTCTTTAAATGAATTGAAAACAAAATCTAATGTAAAAAAGATGTTTCAAGAAATTTTCAGTTGCCCTTTCACCACTGGTTTGGACTGTGGTTTTAGGTTTAGCGAAATTTTGAAATGAAAAAATTGGTTTTAATCGATTCTGTTGATTCAAATTTGCGCCATCTCCCGCCCCGCGATGATGGAACAGAAGCTGACTTCCTTAAGCGGACAGGAAACAAAAAGCTACGAAAAAGTGTTTCAAACCATTTTCAGGTGATCTTGTTGAGTAGGGCTAGGGGGAAAATTTGCAGTTTTTATAAAATTCTTTTTATGCTATTATTTTTTTAATAGATGGGATTTGTTCAGAATTTTCAGCTCTATCGAATGGACACAAAATTCCAAGATCACCTACAAGCGAAGCGTAAAAGCTTACAAATCGGAATTTTCAGCCTATAAAGACCGTAAAAATAATGCGTGTTTCAAGGAATCTGGTGTTCTTACAAGGAGACGTTTTTGAGTGTCGTCGGGACTTTGGCACGGGACCAAGCCTATCTTGTGCAGAATTTTACGCTGATTCCGAATATGTTAACCGTTTTTGCGGAATCGCCATTTCTCGAAAGTTATGAACGATTTAAACCTCAAAACAGCCCAAAATCGGCTACTTCCGATAGTCATAAAAGGCTTGGGAATAGGTTTTAGACAAAACTTGATAGTGCATCTTGTTCAGAAAAAAATTCTCTATAAAATAAGCTACTTAACTCAAAATTTCTGAGATTTTGAAATTTTTGTAAAATTATGGACCTCCCATTCATCAAATTTTTCCAACTTTTCAATGATTTTAAAAAAGATGGTACATTTTATAGAGAATTTTTTTCTGAACAAGATGTACTATCTGGTTTTGTCTAAAACCTATTTTGAAGCCTTTTATGACTATTAAAGTAGCCGATTTTGGGCTGTTTTGAGGTTTAAATCGTTCATAACTTCGAGAAATGGCGATTCCGCAAAAACGGAACATATTCGGAATCAGCGTAAAATTCTGCACAAGATAGGCTTAGTCCCATGCCAAAGTCCCGACGACACTCAAAAACGTCTCCTTGTTAGTTGTAGTTAGTCTGGGATTCTGTGTGGTTTTGTTTTGCCTTTTAAATCTAGTTTCAAGATTGAATTTTCAATTCTGGAGATCATCAACCTACCGTAACCCCGGCTCCTCAATCTCGACGACACAATTCACCGGCTGATCGAGCGTGTTTTGGAGTAGAAATTCGAAAAACACCGATTCTCCGAGAGAGACGTGGATTCTGGAAAAAATGCTTTGTTAGCATAGGCAAATCAGGGACGTATAGGCGCATTAATATCCTGAATCATTTTCCGCATTAAATTCCAGAAAAAACCTTGCTCAAATTGTCTCTGCTAGCCTGCCCTGGGACCTCAACTCCTCAAATTCTCTCTGCAAGCCTGTCCTTGTGCCACAAGTCCTCAAATTATCTCTGCTAGCCGGCCCTAGGGCCACAATTCCTCAAATTACCTCTGCTAGCCTGCCCTTCGGCCAGAATTCCTCTATTTGTCTTTGCTAGACTGCCATAAGTCCATCATTTCTCAAATTGTCTCTGCTAGCCTGCCCTGGGATCACAATTCCTCAAATTATCTCTGCAAGCCTGTCCTTGTGCCACAATTCCGCAAATTGTCTTTGCTAGCCTGCCCAGGGACTGAATTCCTCAAATTGCCTCTGCTAGCCTGCCTTACTTGTGTTCCGTCGTAATCCCCCGAAAAAAGCGTGTTCAACAACCGGCCGGCCTTCCCCTCGTTCCGGATCCGCTTGTACGCCTCCAACTCGGCGTCGAACACGAAGTTTTTCATGGTTTTCTAAAACAATATGAAATGGGCGATCATCATGTTAGCACTGGCAAATAGAAAACAGCAAATCCTAGGAATTCTTGAAACCCAAATCTCGAATTATTTTTTTTTTCTTTGCGTTCTTTCTTTTCTTTTCTTTCTGCTTTTTCTTTTCTTTTATTGGCAACGATTAGTGAACTTCCTTGCGGTTTTCAACGGAGTTTACAAAATTACCAAAAAAAAATGATTACAAATCGATGATTTCAATATTTATATTATTCCGATTTATTATTTCTATATCTACTTTATTTCTAAAAAATAATGATCGTAACATTATCCAAATTCTCCCAGTAGCATCATCTTTTTGAGACGAAACATTGAGTTTCAAAAGGCGCATTTTTAAGCTTTTTAATCTTTCAAAAACCTTAATCATGTAATTTTATAGTTAAAATCAAAGTACTATTTAAATTTCACGAATTAAATTGTTTTTATTCGAATATCTTGAGCCTAAAGATCACCTTGCTCCGCTCGCTCAAAGCCTCGGTCGTGGGATGGCCATGCCCATTTGAATCCCCATTTTCTTCGGCGAATCTCTGCGAAATGTCCAATCTAAAAAGTAGGCGCTTAAAGGGATGCCGACGGCATAGTCAATCGATTACGCGCGGAAAAGAAAATGTCTCTGCGCCTCTCCCCAGGGCGCGCTCTCTCCCCTGTTGGCTACTTGCCAATTTGTTGATGAGGGGGGATCGACACATGCCGTCGGCAGCCCTTTAAAGGACTTGGCAAGTCATAGTCAAGCCCCGCCCCCTTTTTAGCCCTCATTCAAAACCCTAATCGCTTTTTTATGCTATGTTAAGCACTTTTCATATGCGCAATTGTTGCTGTTTTTTATGAACACCTAACTACAAACAATTGATTTGCAGCCTTTTGCGGGATATTTAAAAATATTTGTAACATGGTTTTTTTTCAGGAGCTGTATGCTCCGTTTGGGATATTGATTGCTGAGCTAGTTAGTCTTAGGCTTGGCTTAGGCTTGGCTTAGGCTTGGCTTAGGCTTGGCTTAGGCTTGGCTTAGGCTTGGCTTAGCCTTGGCTTAGTCTTGGCTTAGGCTTAGGTAAAGCTAAGACTTAGGCTTAGGCTTTGTCTTGACTTCCGCTTGACTTAGGTTTGCGTTAAGCTTAGGCTTTGGTTTGTTAGAAAATTCCGTACATTAAAATTCGCGAACCTTTGAGCGTACAAGAATTTTTGTAGTGCATTCTCGTGAGCCGGGTTTAGCGGGCGGACGCGGATCTGATAATTAAAATAATTTAAATTAGCCTTAAGTTGTTTAAATTAAAAATGTCTAAATATAGACTTAATAAAATTCTATACCATAAGCGAATCAGCGGCCGAATCCAATTTCTCGAGCCGTTTTGAGACGACGGCCTCGTTTTTGGAATGGACGAGATCTGAAAAATTGACGGTTTAGGTAGAGAGAGGAAGAGAGAGAGAGAGAGTGCGAGAGAGAGAGTGAGAGAGAGTGAGAGAGAGAGTGAGAGAGAGAGTGAGAGTTAGTGTGTGAGAGAGACTGAGAGAAAGAGCCTTCAAAGCCTTACCTATTTGATTATTACTCGGATGTCCGATCGAGGCGAATTTCATGAAAAGCGACCCGGCATTCTAAAATGGTGGATTTTTGGAACGCATTGAAGATTAGTCAAGCATTTCAAATTCGAATTTTTAATAGCTTTTGAAACACCTTGTTTTTCGAATCAATATATTTTCTCGGAATTTTATTTTCTTTAACTAAGAGACTATTCAAAAAGGTTAATTTCCACTCACCTTTTGCACAGGCCCGACACTATTCTGCACCACGGTACCGTAGGCGAAGAATTGGACGGCTTCCAGGCCGTTTCGGATCAGGCACTAAAGTGGGCTTAAAAATATCATGTTTCAGCTTTGGTACAGTTTTGCTTGAATTTTGTATCGGCTTAATAGAAGTTTGTTTTTGCCTTCATAGACGGCCCAATACATTTTTGCCCTCATACACACTTATTTAATGGTTAGGTTAGGTTCGGCCTTTGGCTTGGGCTTAGGCTTGGGCTTAGGCTTGGGCTTCGCTTAGGCTTAGGCCTAGGCTTAGGCTTCGCTTAGGCTTCGCTTAGGCTTAGGCTTGGGCTTAGGCTTAAGCTTGGCTTAGGCTTAGGCGTAGACTTAGGGTTAGACTCGGGTCTAGGGTCCAAAATAACGACAGCAAAAAAAATTGTAATATAAAAGGTGTCTATTTGTTTTGATGATGTGTGTTTTATAAACTTTATATGCATCATAAAACTCACGTGCAGCGGGATATCAGTCGTCCCGATTAACTGCACCGAATCTGCATCCCAGACGTCAACTTGCAGGCTGGCATTTAGAAGAAAATTAACAAATTCGGCGGGATCCTGCGGCGAAATGGCTGATCGGTCTACCGTAAGACGGACCTGAAAAATTTATTTTGATTATTTTTGTAATTTTTATTCAAAATCAAGAGAGAGAGAGCGAGAGAGTGAGAGAGAGAGATGGAGAGTGAGAGGCAAACTAGCAGAGCTTATTGAGGATAGATCATTGCCACATTGCTAGATCGTGGATTATGAGTATCGCATTATCAAGAGAATTTTTGAAGCATAAATTTTCGTTTCGGCTGGCTAGGCAGAGACAATTTGAGGAATTTATCGCTTTAATCGTTGTGTAATTACCATAAATCCATGGTTGTCCTCAACCGGCTCCCCATTTCCAGGGCGTAATCGTTTAAGAATACAAGGCTCCCCGGGATTCGTGGGAACCGCTAGCAATCTAGAGAGATTATATAAATTTCTATCAATAAAATTAATAGATAATTATATCTAAAAATCAATAAAATGAATAAAATAGTCATAAAATTAATAACATATGTAATATAGATTGAATATTTTTTTACTTAAATTTTGCGCTTGTGATAGTATCGGATCCATCAAAATCCGGTTCTTAAATATCCACAAAGTATGTTTTTTTGGCTGGGAAGAAGCTATTTTAAAAACAGCACTGTTGCCTTTTTTAATTTTTCATGAAATAAAATCAGAAATAACTTGCTTTTCCGTCGTCACCTCGGGGAATCGATAGAACTGGAGCGTGAAAAAGACATGTTTCGGGGTTTTGAGATGTTGATTGGCCCTTAAAACATACAATCTGTTCTTTCTGCTGTTGGAAAACATCCTTACAAGGGAAGGTTGTTTGGGTCAGGTGTCAAATCGACTTGAAACTTTGCCAGTGGATAGAAAATCAAAAATAAAGTGGAGTTTCTTAATCTCATTTTTTGCACAATACCCCAAATTAAAAAGTTATAGGCCTCTGAAGTTACATAAAAAAAGCATGAGACGACCCGACAATTCTGACCTGGTCCTCTTTGGGCCTGCCCGCCTTTTCAAGCTCTTGCGTCGCCCGGACTGGCAAGCTGTTTGGCGCAGTAGGTAGTGCCGTAGAGTGCAAAACTTTTTAAATTTTTGTAATCGAGTTCAAGTCTTTGATGCGTCCAACTTTTTGCTTTTTGGATTTTACGCCAACTAACCCTAATTTGCAAGAGCAAAAAGCAAAAAGCAAAAAGATAGAAAAGTTTTAGTCTCGAACTTTTGCCAAAAATTTTTCAAAAGATTGTGAGTCAAGCGCACTACCGATTGCGCTAGAAGAGACGTGGGGGAGTGGAGACGAGAGAGGGTCAAGAAATCACGCATGAAGAGAATGTGGAAATGGTGCGGTATTGGTGCAAAAGCCTGCGCAGAACTCATTTTTCAGACCACAAACTTAAAATGCTTATAACTTTTTAATTAGGGGTATTGTGCAGAAAAAAGACCTGGCGCACCTTTTTCCGTTTTCAATTTCCTATCCACTGGCCAATTTTCAGAAAGATTTGACACCTGACCCAAACAACCTTCCCTTGTTAGTGGATTCTATCGATTATTATTATTATTTATTATTATTATTTTTCCTACATTTTCAAATTTTTATTTTATTTTCTAACTGGAGAATTGAAACCTTCGGGTCAATGTTTATTTTGCATTATTTCACGATTTTCGTTTTTTCCTGTTTCTAAACATTTTATTGGATTATTTTATTTTAATATTAGATCCATTAATAGTGTTCTAAAATTTTAAATTTTGCTCGAAAATCGAGAATTTTTGCCAAAACATCGCTATTTTTGTATTTTTCATAAAATTTCTGATATATTTCAAATAAATTTGCCCCCTTCCCCCGATAATGCAAAAGCACACCACAATCCTCATTAAAAACTCACCAAGTAACGCCCAAAAATTGTACAACAATCTCGTGGGTGTCCAAAGGATCGTTGCGTTCAATTGCTTCGTTGTAGGTGGGTCCGGCAGATAATTCGACCGTTTTGGGCAGATCGCCGTTTCGGTCGTAGATTGGTGGCATCTGAAATTTGCATTTACTCGGTTTTTTGCAATTTGCGATTTTTATAATTTATTAAAATTAATTGAATTGTTTTCATATATAAATTCTATATTTTTCGACTTCCTAATCAATTTATATTGCTAATTTCATACCAAATTTGTACTTTTTTAGTAATTGTCTAGCAATTTTCGGTTTTCTTGTCAATTTATAGTATTAAACTTATTAGATTAAATTTGTCTATTTTTAGATATATTTAATATTTTATTACGCACCTCGATTTTTAAGTTAAGTAAAATTGTTAAATTGTTATGAATTAAACTTATAGATCCCGCCTCACCCCGCTTGAATTTAAATGCTTCATTAATTGTAACATAGAACTCCGAAGTATTTGCTTTTAATGAACTTGAAGGCACTGCTCTTGATCGTTCTGTGTTTTCCATCGTTATTCTAGATTTCGTTATTGGTTAAATTTGCTCACTTAATTCCTCAGTCTAAATTGCCTATATTCCTAATTTAAGTTATTTTATCGCTTTAGACTTATTACATTCCGACGCACCCCGATTTAATGTCAATGTTTCATCAATTTTACATAAAGATCAAAAGCGTTCCCGTGTAATTCGTGCCCCTTTTTTGATTTTTTAAAATTAATTTGAAGTTAATTGAGACCTTGGCCCAGGCGACGAGTCCATAGGCGGAGCGCGGAACGGAGAACGCGCTGAAATTTTGAGATTAGAACGCAATTAAAATTTAAGATCGTGTAAGCATTTCGAAAAGAATGTTATACAAAATTCTCAGCTGCTGATTTTCTTCGACTGTGCAATAGTTCATAGTTATTCGCCTTTTCACAATTTTCATGCTCTATTTCTCCAGCTTTCCGCATTATTTACAGCTTGTGAAAGAGGTTTAAAAGGTATTAATATTGGCCTGAAAACCCACCCAACATATTCCGTGTCGACTACGGTATAGTTCTCATTTTCATCTAGCTCTTGGTTGGGCGATCTTTCGAGAGCTTTCTCAGGCGTGAAATGTACGGCCGGTTTTGGTTGGAATTTCTGAAAAAAAGCCACTACCGTATCCCGAGGTTAAATCTAGATCGAGGGAGAGAGGGCGAGAAGGAGAGAGAGAGAGAGAGAGAGAGAGAGAGAGAGAGCAAGGGAGAGAAAAAAGAGAGAGAGAGAAAGTGAGAGAAAGGTAGGGAAAGAGAGAGAAGGCGAGAGCGAGGGAGAGAGCCAGCGAGATAGAGCGAGCAAAAGAGTAAGTGAGAGACAAAGAAAGATATATTTTAAAATACCTTTTCCACAACTACCGGGTCTAAAACTTGATATTCCGGACCCTTCCTCGTGGCCTCTGTATCGGCTCTTTTCTCATTCTCTCTCCTTTCCTGCTGTTTCTCCACCTCCGGCCTCGGTTGGGGAGCAAGAGCTGGAGATTCGGATTGTGGGCTCTAAAATTTTGCTTCATAGTATCGCCAAAATGCGCTAAAAATACCGTAACTCTGTGCTCAACCGGGCGACCGCGTCCAAAAGGTCGTGACGGGGGCGAGCGGAGGTCAAAGGACATGTCCTGGAAATGGATACTATGAATTTCCATCGTTTCACTCGCTCCGTCTCTCTCTCTCTCTCTCTCTCTCTCTCTCTCTCTCTCTCGCCTACCTCATCCTTCGCATTAAAAACGAACGCTATCTCGATCCGCGGCATTGCTGGCAGCGTATTTAGTTTTTGTTGGAATATGCTAAAATCAACCTAATCTTCTTTAAACAATTTTTATAATAATATTTGATTTATGAATGAATCTTGAACATAGTTTGAATTTGATAAATCAGAACTTTTGACAGAAGCGGCTGCTCCATTAAAAAGCGGGATTCAGACTCACCTATGCAAGTTCTTGAAACACAGATTCTCATCCGGATTCGGCCGCGGCCCGCCGACCAGTTGCACTGTAAAAGTCCTTTTTGAAATTTTTTATTTATAATTTTTCTTAATTATTGGATGACGATACCGCGTCTTTTTGTGTATTTCGTATATTTTATTCTTTTCTACTATAAGTTCTACTACTTGTCAAAAGGTGGTACCGAGCGAAACATAGATTTTAGAAAATTTGGTTTGTATTTGGCGCCCAAATTTACTCATCGAATTTGTTAATTAATTTTTATGATTAAATGTTTAAATGATGAATTAAAGGGACTAATCTAATTTAATTTATTTTAATCCATTTTAAATCGTTTCCTTCATCGTTTTTGACCCGGAATTTTAAGAGTTGCAAGATTAGTTTTACACGGAGCACGAAAGAATTACATTTCGTTTTGTTTTTGTTTGAAGTATCATTTTGCATAACTATTCAATTGGTAAGGGATAGTTCCTCCACCAAGAAATCTTTGGAATTAAAGATTTAGCCTTGTCGCGTTTCCTCAATTTTTTGAAACGCTCACTTTTCACCTTCTGCGGACCCGGCTCTATATTGTGGTTTTCGCCGCCGAAAGGACGCCACGCTCCCCAACATACCAACGCCGTTTTGGAATCACCGTAGCTGTGCTGAAACGAGAGAAAATAGAGAGAGAGAGAGGGAGAGAGAGAGAGATAGAGAGAGATAGAGAGAGAGAGAGAGAGAGAGAGAGAGAGAGGGAGAGAGAGATCGAGCAAGGTAGAAACTCACAAATTCCGAATTATACTCGGCCATCACGAACTCGAGCAAGAACACGACGGCCAGCCGGCTGTCGGCGGAAATTCGTGGAATTGCCACCTTTGTAGGAAGCATTAATAGGGAGAGACCCTGCACGGAGTATCTAAAAGTAATAAACATGAGTCAATACGCTATGAAAAAACCTAAGTCTCAGCCGAGCCTAAGCCAAGCCTAAACCAAGCTTAAGCAAAGCCTAAGCCAAGCCTAAGCCAAGCCTAAGCCACGCCTAAGCCAAGCTAAGCCTAACTATAAGGTTCCGACCTTGAGTCCCGGCGCGATGGGCTAATGCTCTTGCGGCGTAGAGAATGAGTGGTCGAAGCCGCTTCTCCCATCGACAAAACTACCGTAACCGGCTCCCCGATGTACGAGTAGCCGTTGTGGACGCCGATCTGAAAATTGCATGTAGAAATAGAAATGTAATAATTACTTAAAAGCTGATCAATTCCAAAATTTTAATTTAAAAGAATACATTAATCTAATTAATACAAAAAATATAAAATTAATTTTAACCTACCCTCAATCTTCGCTCGATTATGGCTAGCCTTGGGGGTGGGGCTTTGGCATTTCGAGTTGGACTGAAACATTAAAATTTAAAGTTTCAGAGAATTAAGGCATTTGAAGATAATTTATTCGAACAGTTCTTATATACAAGTATCCTACCTTATATAATTTTGGAGTGTATCTCTGTGTGTGTGTGTGGATGTCACTTTCGAGGCCCGATTTACGGGCCTTCCCCTGGATAAAATGCGCTGATTCTTTGTCCCTCGGGGGAATCGACCCTCCTCTTTCCGATGTCGTTTTCAGAATTTCGATAAAATACAAGTTTACAAAGTTAAAGCGGTTTTATTCATTTTTGGGGTAATTTGCATAATCTGAAAAATTACAAATCTCCTCATTCTTGCAATTTGCACGCGCGTGTGTGGCCGGTGGAGGGAAGGGGTCCGAACGACCCGAGCTACCGGAAAGTCAAATTTATCATGCAAAGGACCAATTCCAGCGCCCAAGGCCCGCGAAGCGGGTTTTGGGCGCTGGTACAAGTATAAATCAAAATATTTTAAATTCGACGAACTTACGGCACAAAATAATTGCACCGCCTCTCAGCCGTTATATCGGCGCGCAGCGCGTCCTCAATCTCCTTCCCGTGCTCCCCGAAATCGATTGTTACCTGAAATATTTTTAATTTAATTTAATTTTGGTTTAATAGGAATATAGAATTTTACGTTTTACAAAAATAGATTTTTATCGAATAAAACCTTACCTCATCAATGGATCCCGGCAGGAACGGTAACAATTCCGGAGCGGAGAGCTGTGATCCTGAAAATTATATGCTTCGAAAAAGTTACTGCTGTTAACAAAATTTGCAAGTTTAATACAAGTGAGGTCCCGAATTAAAAAAATCTTGTATTTTATTCTACAACAATTCGAAAAATCATATGCTTCAAAAATTTGTGTACTAATAACAAAATCGATGACTTTAATGCCACTAGGATCCCTACTTTAAAAGAATCATAAATTTTTTTGACTGCTTACATGTTAGGCTTAGGCTGAGGCGTAGGCTTCAGCTTTCGGCTTAGGCTTAGGCTTAGGCTTAGGCTTCGGCTTCGGCTTAGGCTTCGGCTTAGGCTTAGGCTTCGGCTTCGGCTTAGGCTTAGGCTTGGGCTCAGGTTACCCTCTTAAATCCTAATTAACATACGGCGCTCAAACTCGGCCAGTCCGGGAATGTCATCAGCTTGGCCGACCAGAAAAAAGGGCCCAAAATAGTCGGCGGCGGCGAGGAGTTGCGGGTGCGAGAAGAGCGTCGCCTGCAGCGCGCCTGAAAATCGTAAGTTTATTTTTAATTTTAAAACTAATTTTTAAAGGGTATGCGAAAGCATCTGTTGATCCCCCTTCGGGGGAGCACAGCCCATACAGCCTTACTTAAACCTGCAACGAAGTACAAGTACACTCATTACGGAATTCGTAAACGGATTGTGTCGTATTATCGCTGGGCGGATTTTCTGGTGCGATTACGTAGGGCAAAAGGGGGCTGGGCTACGGTCATTGGGTCACGGCATTAGGATGATAGGGCTTGGTCGGGTCTGGGGGCTCCGAGAAGAGGCGAAAAATGCTAGTAAAAGTTAGAAACAATTCAAAATCTCTTTAAAACGCGTTTTTCAGCAGACGTCAACTTTAAGAATCGAGAGAACAAATAATCGCGGATTTTTTGAGCATATAAACTGCCAAATCGGTAAAGTCACGCTTCCGTTATAGAATAGGCCCGATTTTCGCACATCAACCTTGGGGATTTAAGCGATGTTTTGCCACATCCGGGACTGCTAGGGTACCCAAAATAGACTATTTTTTGTGCTGATTCTGAAAATGAGCTAGTTTATTACCAATGACGTCAGATTCTCGAGATAAAAGCAAATTTTGGTGAAATTCATCCAGGAAACACCAAAATTTCGGGACCTGGGTAAAAAAGTACGCTGAAAACGATAAAATACAAAATAAACGTTAAAACTTTTATTTTGCTGAGAATTTATCACTTATATATAAATTTCTAATGTCCGTGCGCCCGTCCGCCCGCCCGTCCGCCCGTCCGACCGGATCGCTGCGGGACCCCAGGACCGGTTCGGACGGGTCCGGGAGCCCGGGACGTTTCGGAATTTCGGGATTTCGGTGTATGGGTTCTTTCAAGGGTATTCTAGCCATTACGCGTTTCTTAGATGTTTTTTTAGTAGCCAAGAAGGGAATGAACTTTCTTTCAAGGGTATTCTAGCCATTACGCGTTTCTTAGATGTTTTTTAGTAGCTAAGAAGGGGAAATAACTTTCTTTCAAGGGTATTCTAGCCATTACGCGTTTCTTAGATGTTTTTTTTAGTAGCTAAGAAGGGAATGAAATTTCTTTCAAGGGTATTCTAGCCATTACGCGTTTCTTAGATGTGTTTTTTAGTAGCTAAGAAGGGAATGAACTTTCTTTCAAGGGTATTCTAGCCATTACGCGTTTCTTAGATGTTTTTTTTAGTAGCTAAGAAGGGAATGAAATTTCTTTCAAGGGTATTCTAGCCATTACGCGTTTCTTAGATGTTTTTTTAGTAGCTAAGAAGGGAATGAACTTTCTTTCAAGGGTATTCTAGCCATTACGCGTTTCTTAGATGTTTTTTAGTAGCTAAGAAGGGAAATAACTTTCTTTCAAGGGTATTCTAGCCATTACGCGTTTCTTAGATGTTTTTTTAGTAGCTAAGAAGGGAATGAACTTTCTTTCAAGGGTATTCTAGCCATTACGCGTTTCTTAGATGTTTTTTAGTAGCTAAGAAGGGAAATAACTTTCTTTCAAGGGTATTCTAGCCATTACGCGTTTCTTAGATGTTTTTTTTAGTAGCTAAGAAGGGAATGAAATTTCTTTCAAGGGTATTCTAGCCATTACGCGTTTCTTAGATGTTTTTTTTAGTAGCTAAGAAGGGAATGAACTTTCTTTCAAGGGTATTCTAGCCATTACGCGTTTCTTAGATGTTTTTTAGTAGCTAAGAAGGGAAATAACTTTCTTTCAAGGGTATTCTAGCCATTACGCGTTTCTTAGATGTTTTTTTTAGTAGCTAAGAAGGGAATGAAATTTCTTTCAAGGGTATTCTAGCCATTACGCGTTTCTTAGATGTTTTTTTTTTAGTAGCTAAGAAGGGAATGAACTTTCTTTCAAGGGTATTCTAGCCATTACGCGTTTCTTAGATGTTTTTTTAGTAGCTAAGAAGGGAATGAACTTTCTTTCAAGGGTATTCTAGCCATTACGCGTTTCTTAGATGTTTTTTTTAGTAGCTAAGAAGGGAATGAACTTTCTTTCAAGGGTATTCTAGCCATTACGCGTTTCTTAGATGTTTTTTAGTAGCTAAGAAGGGAATTAACTTTCTTTCAAGGGTATTCTAGCCATTACGCGTTTCTTAGATGTTTTTTGTAGTAGCTAAGAAGGGAATGAACTTTCTTTCAAGGGTATTCTAGCCATTACGCGTTTCTTAGATGTTTTTTTTAGTAGCTAAGAAGGGAATGAACTTTCTTTCAAGGGTATTCTAGCCATTACGCGTTTCTTAGATGTTTTTTTTTAGTAGCTAAGAAGGGAATGAACTTTCTTTCAAGGGTATTCTAGCCATTACGCGTTTCTTAGATGTTTTTTTTTAGTAGCTAAGAAGGGAATGAACTTTCTTTCAAGGGTATTCTAGCCATTACGCGTTTCTTAGGTGTTTTTTAATATCAAAGAAGGGGAAATAATGTTAACGTTAACCATTAGACTTCCCTTCTCTTTTTGTTTAGGATCAGCTACGGATGTTGGGGGGTTTCTTTCAGGGGGAATAGGAGGAGTGGAAGGTTCTTTGCTTTTGGAGGAGGTGCATAGGTAGATCATGGAAGGTATCCGCTCCAAGCGGGAAATATACAAAAGAGAATGGGAAGCACTGTGTATTGCCTTGCCCCCCGGGAGGGCCAGGCAAAAAAAGCCGCGAAGCGGCTTTTTTTGACTGGTTATATGCTAAATTTTTGGCAAACGAGGTGGTACGTTATGATACTCGTTACGATGCTACGTCATTTGAATTATGCCGTAGCCGGCCTTCGCCCTGGACCTTCGTTGTTTAGCTGTATTGGGTGTGGGAGGGGGATCAACAGCTGGCCAATTGCCAACCGGGGGAGAGAGCGCGCCCAGGCGAGAGGCGCAGAGAAATTCCCCTTTCCCTGGCGTAACTGATTTCCCTCCCACACCCTTTAAGCTAGGTTTAATTTAAAAATTTAGTTTTAGCAGTTTCTGGTTTAAAGAAATATATTTTTTAATACATCGATATCAGGATACGTCAAGCGATGCTTTATTATACGTGCAGCTTTTTGTTTGGGTCTCAACTATTTGAAACATTTTTTCCAGAACTTCATTATTATTTTTTATTTCTTAAAATCAATTTTTATGTGATTTTTGTTTTGAAGAGTTTAAATTTGGAAAGGCTTTGGCAGCTATTTGAAAGTTATTTGGCAGCGTTCGTTTGAATAATCTAGCAGCGAGGTCTTAGCAAACCTGAATGTTTGAAACATGTTTTTTTTTTCCTGAATTCGGACAGAGTTTCTTACAATTTCTGCATTAATATATTTATTTAATTGCTTATATCCTATCCTATAAGCGAGAAAAGTATGTTTGTTTTCTGTAATGACGATTTCTCGGCCATGAGGCCGAATTTCGAGCTGATTTTTGGCATGAAGGTGGAAGAACACATTTGTCAGACACGCATTTTTTTGTTTTGCGAAATTCTTTCATTTAACGGTTTTACAAGCAAAATAGCGAAAATCCTTAACAAAATGGGCCAATGGCCGTGGTGTCCGGGGCATAACTCGCTTCGCATTTGGAATTTCGGGCTGAAATTTGGACCAGTTATGTATTCGATAGTGGGGATCACGCGCATCTTATTATCTTTACAAATTTTCTGCAGATTCAGACCCAAAAACTCAATTTTGTAAAGTGACCAGAAGGCCTCCCTTCCGGGGCATTGGGTCGGCCTTTTCTGTGCCTCCCCGCCCCCTTTCCCCCGGAACAGAAGAGGGCTTTCCCGCTGCCTATTGCCATCTACCCCATGGTGTAGTGGATTTACTCCCGGCCTACCACGCCGATGCTCGTGGGTTCGGATCCTGGGTAAATCCAACTTTTTGCTTTTTGGTAGTTTAGCAACTAACCATATTTCTAGGCTCTCGGTCTGCGAGATTTAGGCCTGGCTCTCGCTCTAGCGCCGCAGGCCCAAGAGAAGCTCCTTGACCCAGGCTCTCGCGCCGCAGGCTAGATCCTGGAGAAAAACCAGTAACTAGCGCCGCAGGCTCAAAGGTTCTAGCGGAACGCTGGCTCTAGCGCCGCAGGCCAAAGAATGGCGCCATTACTAAGGTCCTTGCGCCGCAGGCTAAAAGAAGAAGGTATTCAAATTCATGATTCCTGGACGGGGTCCAGTGGAAAATGGCCGCGAAGCGGTCTTTTTCCACTGGTTTTCTAATAAATGAAAATGGTAGTAGGCTAATTTCACAAAAACTTTAACAAAGTAAATTAACACAGAACAAGTCCATGAAAAGGGCCTATTAAAATCAGTCTCACTTTTCGCTAAAACTGATTTTTTTGAAACACCAAGTTTTTAAGGAAAGGATTCCTTTAAAATTGATTGTAAGCACTTTAAAAACATGCGCTTTCGAAACCACGCAAGTTTGAAGCTAGATCAGCACATTTCCGAAGCCTAAATACCTGTGGCTCCCTGCGTCTCCTGCTCAATGTTGGTGGT